TCAGGTTCATCATCCCTATGGACAAACTGAAACGTCTATTCCCTCAATGTGATTATTTTAGTTGTGAAGTTTCAGCTAAACTTCTATACTACACTGCACTGTTTTTTATGCGTTCGGCTTCTTCTTTAAAGAACAAAATACTTTGAGCAAAGTACCGTTTAGCTCATAGTCATTTCTGTATAAAAAATATTTTATTGACAGACTATAAAGTGCCAAGGAATCATCTAGTCATTAAAGATTCTTTCTAGAGCTTACATTCTGGGGTGCGGTTGCAGGGGAACAATTACATACAAGATGGATAATACGGAATTTCCCGTTATGTACTGGACAGTGGTGGTGCTGTTGGTGTATTACATAAATTATCAAGAAAAAGCACTTTTATGAAGTGACATTTGAGACCTACAGGAAAGGCAGAAGCCGTATCTGGGGAAAGACCATCTGAGGGAAAGGGAAAAACAAGGACAAAGTCCAGTGTCCAGGTCTCAATAGAAGTCAGGCTGAAGGAGTTGGGGTCATGGTGGGGCAAACGAATGATTAAATATGGGTCAGTGTGGGAAAGTTTCATTTATAGCCTTGTACATTTTCTTTTAATATTTGGCTTTTATTCTGCATGATGGGAATTTTAGGTTTGGAGGAAAGCCATTGCACAACCAGACATGCTCATGTTGGGTGTTAGGTGTAGAATTGCTGCAAAGTAGGAAGCAGAAAGACTACTCGGAAGGCTACTGAAATAACCCAATTAAGAGATGGTGGTGCTTTACACCATGGTTATAGCAGTATGGTGAACCAGTAGATTCCAAATAAAAAATTTTACGGTAAAACCAAGAAGACCGCTATTAATTTTGACTAGGAGATTAAAAGCCACGATGCCTAGGTTTGGGGCCAGTTTAACTGTTTACATTCACTCAGGTTCTATAAGAGGAGGTAGGTGCGCATCTCTGAGTAGAAATCTGGCCACTTCTAGATGACTTTGAGATAGCCACATGCCTAAGAAACTGTTGAGTTCAGAAGTTTCAGAAAATCAGCAAATAGACTGTCAAATTTGTGAAAGTGAATTTTTTCCCCATAAAACCATTCTTTGTATTAATTAAAAAATAGAGCGTTATTAAAATCTCATTCAGAAACAGCATGCAGGTTTGGAAGAAATAATTTATGACAATGAGACCTTAGTGAAAACAATCCAAGTAAAATAATTATGAAACACTACGCATTTGAATTAATAAAATTCTTAAAAATATAAGGCTTGGAAAGTTTAAGTTAGAAGTAATAATGCAAATAGTGATCACTGTGTTCTAACAGCTAACTTCACATGCATAGCCTTCAGGGAACTTTTTGATCTTAACATTTTTGTTGTGGTGATGGACTGTTGTCTTAAAACCCTGTTTCTAAACACCTTTACCACCCCACCCCCCCCATTACATTGGGAAAGCCCAAGAAAAGCTTTAACAATGCTTAGTTTAGGGTACACTTAATGTTAAATTCAAACACTGTCCACATTGGTGGGATGAAGGGGGAAGTTGCCCAGTTTTAAATGAAATCTGGGTTCAATCTATCTTGCAGACAGATCTTTGGAACTGGTTCTTTTTAATACTTAACCACTGGTTGAATTATGTGTAGCAAAAATAAATTCCCAATCTTTACCATGCATGGAACCATCTGGAGAACTTTTTATACAAGCTACTGGGTTCTACCTCACAGTTTAAGTACAACTGGGACAAGACCCAATAATTTCAAATGATGCTGGTATTGGTTCTGAGTCACTTTAAAAACCATCACATTAGTTCTTCATAGACCAGTCTATTACTACTGTTTTAATGTTCAAAATTGAGCTCACACACAGTATTAAAGTTTAAGTGTGGACTTCATGTTCACTGGAATTACCAAGTAAGACCAACTTGTCTTTAAACACAGATTTTAATGATAACAATTCCTTTAAGCTCAATTAACTTCAGCTATTACAAGTCTTATGCAGATGTCACTATTAAGACAACATTAGTGACTTGCACTGGGTTCCTCATAGAAGACAAATTCACTTATAAGTGTAATCAACAATCATTTAACAGTTTTGTTATGTTAACACAAAACATGGCTAGTTTGAGTTACACCCCC